GGACTCGATCCAGGGACTCCAGGATCATGACCTGAGCCGAAGGCAGTCGCTTAACCAACTGAGCCACCCAGGCGCCCTCAAATAGATTTTTAAGGAGTTTGTTTTCCATTCCTACTGAAAAAGATTTATTTCTGACATAGGTCTATTGAATAATCAAAAAGAAATGTGTATTATAATACTGCTTTTTACTTTATATAGAAAAAAAACTATGAGATTCTGAACTCTTGCTATCTTTTCCACCTTATTAAGGAAAAATCCAACCGTGTTAAGTGTCTTCCTAAAATTTCAGAAACAAAGAAAAGATTGTCACTGAAGTTCTACTAAGACTTTGGGGAAGTATGGTTCGCAACTGAGATACCCTGAGAGTTGACAAAGATTTTTTGTTCTTTTTGAAGCTTTAGTTATTAGCTATCCAACAAGATATGTCTTTAATTATTGTTTATAATTATGATAATAATAACTACCATTGATTGAGCAACTCCCTTTATTAGGTGCCTTACATAGGTTTTGTCAGCCAATTCTCATAACAAATCTATAAGACAGGCAATGTACGTAGCCTACTGGTAACAGACGCTTACTGAGCATATGCTACATGCTGAGTACCATTCTGAGAACTTATATGTACTAACCCATTTAATCTTCACAACCCAATGTAAATAGCTGATAGTGTTTAATATTTTTCCTATCAGCTATTTAAGGAGTCTGCTTCATACTACATTATCCATATAAAATTTTACCATATTAAATCTATACTTAGTATTGAAATACTGAGGGCACACCAATTTTTTTCAGGTGCAATCATTATTTTCACTTTTGGTGGAGTCAGTGACTTTTTTTTTCACATCTCCATAGTTTTATAGGCCAGATGATGGGTTTGTGGAACTCTTAAAAATGTCTACATTAAATGACAGGGTTTTTTTGTAAGGTGGGAGGCGTTTTCAGTAAAAGGTAGGAATATATTTTGGAGTGGGAAAGTGATTATTCTGAGAGCTGATAAATTATCACACATTGTGGCTTCCCAAAATAAGCTTTCGGCCATAGCTTAAGTCCCTCCAAATAGGCTAGATTTTTAGTAGAATAAGACATAAATGCTGAGAAAAAAATGACGGTTGCCAGATGGGAAGAGGTGGGGGGATGGGCATGCTAGATGAAGGGTAGTGGGAGGTACAGTTATGGAATGAATAAGTCACAGGGATAAAAGGCACAACACAGTGAATATAGTCAATGTTACTGTAATTTTACTGTATGGAAACTGAGGCAACAAGCAGCATGTCACTCACCTAAGGTAGCCCAGTTGACCTTCTGAGAAGGTTGGCGTTCTAATCCAGCCCATCATTAATAATCTAAACCAAATACCTAGTTCAAATAAATGTGATGGGATTTTTTTACTTCCTCCCTTCCCATTGGTAAGACTGTTGCAATCAGCAACTTAGTTTTCTAAATATCAGTGCATTAACAATACTGGAAATAAAGTGTTTTGTGCAACTTTAATAGCCTTTGATTCTTTAAATATTTCATCCTCCCTCCCAGCTGGCACAGTTCCGAAACCTTCTGTCGACTGTTGAAGGTGACAAAGCTGTCCCCATTCAGCACAACAACCGGCCACCCCAGCCTCTGAATGGCAGAATAGTGAGAGCTTCATTCTGATGGGACCAGGAAGGAACTTCTCCTTCCTCCAGGAACACTGCCCTGCTTCGGACATAATCCAGTGAAACAATTTTTAAGAAGCACATTTATGTCAATCCTAGCAAGGCAGTGTAGCTGCAAATTCAATCTATAGAGCGAAGTTTTGATTTTTATTCTTAATGCTTAACTCAAATAATAATCCATAAGCTTGTAAAACCTGTGCTTAAATTCAATTTATTTTGTGGAATTCTTTATAATTGCGATTAAAGTATACTGAATAATTTCTTAGGGATTTGTGTCTGTTTCCATTTTATTCAGTTTAGTTGAACCAGTAAAATAACTTTATCCCTTTCTTGTCTATTATGTACTTTTTTAAAAAAAAATATTAAATCATTTCTGGCCCATGTACATTCAAAAATCTTAAGTGCCTTATTAGCAATATTATTTTGCCTCAAATGTAATAACCTAAGAGCAGCTTGAGGTGAGACATTGCGAAATTCATTTTCTTACTCTTGAAGGCAAATATACAGCTAAGATGACAATTGTATTTATTTATTTATTTTTAAGATTTTATTTATTTATTTGAGAGAGAGAGAATGAGAGACAGAGAGCACGAGAAGGAAGAGGGCAGAGGGAGAAACAGACCCCCTGCTGAGCAGGGAGCCCGATGCGGGACTCGATCCCAGGACTCCAGGATCATGACCTGAGCGAAGACAGTCGCTTAACCAACTGAGCCACCCAGGCGCCCGACAATTGTATTTAATATTATCATCCTGGCCCAACATTGCTATCATTTGTGTTCTCTGTGATAAAAATGGTATCTTTTATATGGGAAGATGTTGCTTCTGGTTATTGCTTCCACTTTTCCTCCTCCCATTAGCAAAGCCAGTGGTTCCCCCCCCCTTGTTATAACTAGATAGCTTGAATAGAGACTCTGTAATTCAAAATTTTTGAAGAAAATTCACCCATGAATGGTTTATAAAAATGATGGAGTCATTTGGACTTAGAATCATATAAAAAATCATATAATCTTTTAGTCAAACGTGCCCTTAACTTGAAGTCAGTTCTTTCTGAAGCCATGTCTACATCCAGAATTTAAATCTTGTGTCTAGTATGTAGTCTTGTGATTTACTTTAGTTTCCTTCTCCATGACTAAATATAAGAAATCATATTAGAGACCAAAGCCTGTACCCATTCCAATGTCTTAGTGTTGTCTAATGTTACAGAATCAGTCAAAACTTCTAAATAAACATAAACATAGTTTAAAAAGACAGATCAAGCAGATTTTTCATTGCTCTTGAAGGAGCCTTTGTATAAAGGTTGTGTTAAAACCATACTAAAAGACTTCGTTTGAATTTTTGATCTGGAGCCCAGAATTTAAAGAATCCTATTTATTAAAATGTAATAGATCCAAATAATACTTGCACTCTGCTCCCATAAGCATTGTATAAATAGAAAATACTTTCTTTGCAAAAGTAATCTGTGTATATTACTATATATTTGCCAGATATTAAGAAAGCCTGAAACAGTTACACCTGTCCTATGATCCTCTCATTTCACATGAGTCACATTGAAAGGGTTTTAATTCTAAAGTTATCAAAAGTCATCATGAGAGCCAAAAAAAGAGGGATATGAGTTTAATTTGAAACATATATCTGCTTAAGGTAAAAAAGGTATAAAAAATTTTTTGCAGAAAGGTATCTACAAAATATATCTGCTCAGGACACACAGTTTTTGAAAATATTTTCTGGAAAAAAATTGAGCAATTTAAAAAAACAAATTTCACAATAGAGCCCTGAAAAATACTTAACTTAATGACCCATGTATTTTTTAGGTTAAAATGGATTCTTGAACTTAAGAACTTAAACATAAGTCTCTAAGTCTTGCTATGGAGAAGGCAAAGAAGTGACAGAAGATATATGATGACCATCAAACTTCATCCCTAAGCTGAATGCCAACTGGGGAGCATGTTTCCCCTACTGCTTCTGCCAGAATTTCATTTATTTGGCAGAACTCACGAGGTGCATTATGGAGGCTTTCCACATTTCTCTGAAGTAGCCAATAAAAGCAGCTGCTGAGAGAAGATATGTGGACAAGGCATTGGATCATCTGAGAAAGCAACTCATATGTTTCTTTGACTCACCCTCCTGCTGTGTGCCCTATTCCCTTGCCAACTTAGGTAAATGATTTGAACATCCTGCAAGGATTTTGTGATTTTTCCATGATGTTTGGCCGCTGACCTTCTTCCAATCATCCAGAATGACAATGGCAGCTGAAAGGCCCAGCAACAGGCTCAAAGGTAGAAAGGTGCTTCTACTCCCTACCATTTTCTGTCTTATGCAGCCCCATCACTCCTACCCTTGCTTTCAGAAATATCGTGCTGAACATTTATGGCATTCTTTTGCTGATTTGTGAGTCCAAGGCATTTTCTAAATCGTTCATTTCTGTATGTTTTAGAAAATAACTCTAAGAACCTTAAATTCATCAAAGGCAGAATTAGGGAAAACGAAAGGAAAGAAAATAAACATCTTCTTTAAATTTAATTTTTTTACATGCCTCAGAAGAGGAAATTTCTATTTCTTATAACTCTGGTTACTCTATATGCAGTGCTCCTTCACCATTTTGTGGTCACAGATTCCTATGAATATGTAAGTAAAGCAATAAGGCTTCTTTCTACCTCCCCTGAAAATGTAAATAATTAGATATAATCAAAATTTAGCATGGAGTTTTAAAGTGCTTAGAAACTCAACCCTTCGCTCCTTTCCCCATCACAAAGTCAATCTTAGACCACAGATAGGATTCTGGCTCTAAACAACAACAAAAAAGTTGAACTACAGTGGGACTCCAGGTCTCTCGAACTTGCTTCCTAATTTAACAATTATTTTTGCTTTTCTATGTCATTCTTTATATCAGGTTTTTAGATGGAATGATGTATATATAGTATAGCTCATGAATTATCTTTTTGTTGTTTTTCTCTTTTATAAATATTGAGTTGGTAGAGGTCCCATTGCAGAAGAGATATAAAACAATAAAAAAGAGAGAGAATTCAAACTTTAGTGAATTGTTTCATTTATTAGTGAGTAAACTAACAAAAGCTTACAAATGAGAGTAAAAACAGCAGAGAAAAAAATTCAGTTGAAGACTATCTCATCAGATTAATAATGACCCCAAATCACTCTGAAAGTCATCAACATTCTTTGCATCTAAGACAATGAACACATACGGAAATACTTATTTTGTGAGCATAATCTTGATGATTATCCCTAAATAACAAATGCTTAATTACACACTGTTCTCTGTGAGATACTGTACTAGGATTTCCTTATTACTCTTACTAGATTCGGCTGTTTTCAATCTCAGTAGGTAGACAGAGGCAGACAGACAGACACACATAGATATAAATGAATAAATGCGTTTATTGCAGGACTGGTCTACTATGACAAAATAGAAACACAGATACGGATATTTAACCTACTACAAGAATACAGTTCATTATATGTTCCTAGAATTATATGGACACATTTATGAAGCTAAGAAGAAAATGCATAAAATAAAAAAGAATTTAATAGATATATATATGCTGTTCTTAAAACAAGTTAGGAGAAATGACCTTAAGCATTCTTGCTTACAAATCTTGATTTCAATAAGGAAGTTACTCATAGAGTAACTTAGGTCTTAAAGATATGTGTGTACTCTCACACAGATCAGACTGGTGGTTGCCAGCTGAGAGAGGGGCAAGGGGATGGATAAAATGGGTGAAGGGCCTTAAGAGGTACAAATTTCCAGTTATAAAGTAAATAAGTCATGAGGATGTAATACACAGCATAGAGACTCTAGTCAATAATATTGTAATAGCTTTATCCATGACAGATAGTAACTAGACCTATCAAGGTGATCATTTTGTAATGTACAAAAATATCAGATCACTGTGTTGTACACCTGAAACTAATATAACATTGTATGTCAATTATAATTCAGTTAAAAAGGAAAGCACAAAAAAGAATAAAGCCCTAAACTAGGGAGAAAATATAGGTGCATACTCTCATCTTGTATCTTTACAAGTATCTTGAGTATCTTTATACTAAGAGTGAACTGATGGACAAAGAGGTCATGTTTGAAGGTGTTAGAATGCTCACAACACAAGTGCACTTGCTAGAGGTTTCTCACAATGGCATCTGGGATGCTAATCCCTTTGCTATGAGAAGTAGAAATAGCAATTATGTCAGAGAGGAATAGTGTTTAAGTGGCCTTATTTTTTTGCCCCTCAAAGACTAGAGAATATACTTTCTTCAAATCATTAATAAGTATTTTAATATCCTTTAGAGGCAGACACATGTAAAGCTATTTGGATGTGTTATTTTCCATCATGTTAACAAATGACCTAAATTGTCAGCAAAATCAAACATGCATAACAGAATCACACCATGCAGAAATAATATTTAGCTACTTCGGGGAAAAAAAAGACCCTTATCTCATCCATATACCACAATAAATCCAAGGTGGTTAAATTTTTCAATGAAATCAACATACTAGAAAAATAGGTAAATATTTAAGTATCTGATTGAAGAACCTTCAAAACACCAAAGCTACAAACCAAGAAATAATAGAATAATTGATTGAACTATGAAAAACTTAAATATCTAGGTCAACCAACAATAGTAAAAAAAATTAATGAAAATAAAAATGACAATGGGGGAGCGCCTGGGTGGTTCAGTTGATTAAGCATCTGCCTTGGGCTCAGGTCATGATCTCAGGATCCTGGGATCGAGTCCCGCATCGGGCTCCCTGCTCGGCAGGGAGTCTGCTTCTCCCTCTAGTACTAATAGAAAATATTTATAGTTGTGTTGACAAATATATTATTTTATAGGATAGTATAGAAAAGGTGCATTCTCAAATGCTGAATTTTCATTAAGTTAAACAGAATACCATTTAAGATACCTAAATAAATCATAGTTTAGTAAGCAAAGAGATGGTTATACTCCTAAAACTGGGAGTCAAACATTTGATGAAGTTTTGATTGTATGCATGTGTTTGCCTTGGTAGGTCCTGAACAATGGGGCAAGCTGTACCCCATTGCAAATGGAAATAAGCAATCTCCCATTGATATTAAAACCAGTGAAACGAAACATGACAGTTCTCTTAAACCTATCAGTGTCTCCTATGATCCAGCCACAGCCAAAGAAATTATCAACGTGGGGCATT